CCACTTAAATGTGTTCCACCTCCTGCTATTCCTGTCTCATTTAATGAGTCACCATTATCCAGTCACCCAGATCAGAAACATGGGACACATCCTGGACTCTTCTACTCGCTCCAGCCCAACATATAATCATCCTCCATGCAGTTAGATTCTAACTCTTAAATACTTCTCAAATCATCCTTACTTTTGCCTCCTTAGTTCTCTATCATCATTTGTCTCGTGCAGTTCCACTAGCTATAGATGGCTAGGCATAGAATAATAAATATTAATAATAAACAAACATGCTAAGAAATATTTAGCAAATAAGTGCCTGTCTCCCCTCTTCCCTCCCGGGCTTCTGCCACCCTCCCCTACCAAAAATAAACAAATCAGTCCATACCACTACTGTTGCAATGACCTTTAGAAAAGGCAAGTCTGAGCCTTGTTGAAAATCCACCAGTGATTCCTACTACCCACAGAATCAAATCTTAACCTCTTAACCCAGCATACAAAGCTCTTCATTATCTAGCCCCAGCCAGCCTATCCAGTCCAGTCTTCTCTCTTATCATCCCCTCACACACTTACACTCTGACCTCCCACATGACCTGTATGTGCTGCACGCTCTTGAATCTCTCGTGCCTTGCTTGGTTAGCTTCTACGCATGTCAGTCACTCTGCGTGTGGTGTCCTGCCCGCCATTGTCTGCCTGGTGGCTGGCCAGACTTGGCTCTCAGTTCATCCCCTCTGGGACACCTCTCTTGACCCCCTTTCCTGACCCGTTTCCCAGCAGAGGTAGGCTCTCTGCCTCTGACTTGTTCCCAGACCACCTTTGTGCCACATTTCACGCTGTGCCTCAGGGCTTGTTTGTCTCTTTCTCTCCCCACTGACTCTGGCATTTTGTCTTTTTCATCTTCTTATCCCCAACGCATAGCCCAGTGCCTAATCAATGTGGTTACTTAAGATTTTTGTTTGTTTGTTTTAATTGTCACTTTTCTGTCTTGGTTTCAAACAATTTATCAATAGAGAGATTGCCTGAAATGGTTACACTCTTTACTGAGCTCCCAAATGCATAATCCCAAGAACCATTTATTTAACGAAAAGATCATGTTCTAATTTATGTTTCATTCCGCAACTGTTTCTTTCATGGTTTTGGTTTTCATGACAGCTCTGTTTATCATTTACATCGTAAGTCCTTTTTACTTTCTTTTTAGTATCTGAAATATACATAGAAGAAATGATGGTGTGTGGGGCATGCTTTCTGTCTTAGTGTGGGTGTTGGTGCTCTATGCATTGATAATATATGTTGGAAAATGTTGGCTTTATTAGTATGGCAAGATATTTGTTGTGTAGGAAGAGAACCATTGTTATAAAGCATCTAAATTATGAGACTAGGTATCTTTTTTAGAATTTTAAATTAGTTTTGTATCTGGGTTCTTTTACTGGTATGTGTGGTGGTGTCTTTCTTGGTGAAGCATATGGAAACAGAACTGTTAATATTTCATCAGTTCAAGTTCCTTCTTCTCTTTATAGCAAAAATCAGTAATCTGTTCACAAGATTTTTTTTTCCTGAATCATCATGATAGAGTTATATATCGAGTAATTCAATACTGATTGATTTAGCCATGTGATGTATTGAGCCAAAACCCTCCGCCCAAATCTCTAGCACTGTCTCTCTTGCTCAGTTTTCACGTATCCTGTATTTACTTCTTCGACACTTTATCACGGTCCCTTTAATACTCTAAATTCCTACCCTTATTTAAGGCTCTGAGACCCTGGGTTTATCTCCTCAGCTCGTGGCCTGACGCCTCTCACATTGCCTGTTATGCCCTGGTTCGCAATTTCTTGTCTCTGTGTACCCCTGTTGAGAAGGTTTCCTTTTCCCGCTGTCTGCACTGCTCCTGTCCCCCTCTGTCCCCACCCTTCTTCCAAAAAGCAAAGTGCTTGAAGAACTATATTTTTCTTGTTCTTCCACACAGCCCTTTACTTGTAATATTTCCTATTATTTAAACTGTTCCTAAAAATCTTTCTCTTACAGAAAGCTATCTTGGATTGATAGAGTAAAGCCACTTACTTTTCCTGACCTTTATCCATTCCTGGACGCCAGTAACCAACTCCCCTCCCGTAATGCTGCATGACTTCCCTGTCCTCCCATTCCCCAAATATGCTTGCCACTGATGAGTTTAGGTTGCACTGATGAGTTACTTCTCTCCTGAAGCCTCTGGAAGCCAGGGACTACATCTGTTTAATTCTTTGCGTATCGCCTAATACAGCCCACCGTCACCATTATCACACATACGTGGCTCATAACTGCTTTCTGATGATAGGAAACAATAGTTTGATAAAGAAGATTGGTGGATGGTGAACATTTGGCATCGTATTGCATGCATTTTATACTGATGCAGATTGAGGAGAAAAAAACCTCTTGGCTATGGATTTTTAAGCATTCCCTGTTTAAGAGCAAGCAGGTGGTAAAATTAATCTTATAAAAGGATAATTTAATGTTTTTCAAATTTGTTGTTTTGTCTCTGTCAAGTCTAGAAAAGCATATTGAAAATCAAATAGAGCTAAAACAGTACTTTGATACATCAATGGAAAGAACAGTTGATTGTAGTAAATCAGGATTTGTTATAGAAATTTCATAATGCCCAAAGGACTGAAATGCACAGAGAATGTGTCAAAAGCTGCAGTTTTAGATGTCTTTCTTATGCAAATCATTATCTATAAAGTTTTAATAATACAGGCTTAAACAGAAATTGCTAGAGTGATGTCCAGAATAAAATCTGATATTTTAACAGCAAAAAGTATTGGCTGTTTATATTATATAATGCATGTTAACAATGACTACTGTTCTAAGAACTCCTCAAAGAAAATACTGAGGATTTCTTAACTCATAATTGGAAATAGTTAGTGGGAAACTAACTTAAAGTGGGAAAATCTGTTTAGAAACTGAAAATGATCTTAAGAGGGAGAAAGGTTAGTATCTTTCCAGTCAACGATAACATCAGATTTTCCTAAAATTAAGTGAAAATTGTTTAAAGCAACTCGATGTGAAATAATTTAGGTATAGGAGTTCCAGTTTTCAGTGTTTTTCTTTCCTTTAAGAATTTCTCAGAAACATTTTTTCCTTTTGGATTAAATAATCCTGTTTACCATATATCATTTTAAACAAAGCAGTGTCCAAATGTGATTTTTAAACTACATTTTATTGTCTTGTTCCCATTTCACACTTAATTAAAATTGTATGTTCCTTTTAAGACCACATCCTACTAGTTAGTACTCTTTCTAAGCAAGAAATTAGGGTTTTTGGAAACTCTTTAGGAATTTTTAAAGAAACATACTGCTTTTTACAAGTTATGTGCTTCATGGCACCATCAATTGGGTATATGACTTGAGTTTTTTCAGATGAAACCTGATTCACAGATTATGAATGTTGGGATGGAGGGTGGAAAATAGATTTTCTTTCCCTGACATCTGCCAGGGGTGTTTATTGAGAGAGGTTAATGGGTATTCATGGAGAAAAGGGAGAGCATTGTCATAGGTTTGGAAGGATGCTTTATAGCGCTGATCATGGTATTTAAATATCTACCTTAGCATATTAAAGGGACTGAGGAGTGGCTGCAGTAATTGTTTAACTTTGTATAACCAAGTTTTTTCAAACATTCGACCACAGAATGCTTTTTGCACAGAATATCTATTGAGTCCTTGTAACAAGTGTTCCAAGAGCATAGTTTGTAAGGTGTTACACTAACCAACAAAAACCATATGCCAAGTTAATACCCTTTTCAAAATCCTAATTTACGGGAAGGAAATAAGTTAATTATTGGGAATATGTATCCAAAGACTTGGATTTCACATGAACCAGTCATTCTGAGCGCTGCTGGATCTGGAGTATCCTGTGTGTTATAGATGTCCATTTAGAAATCTGTGCTGGAAAGTATGAAGGAATGTATTTGGAAACTTAGTGACTCTGCTCATATCTATAATGTTGTATTGATATATTTTATTTTTTATGTTTCCTTAGGGAAATTTTGAAACATACACAAAAAGAAGAATACAATGAGTATTTTGCCAGTTACTTAAAATAATGGTTCAAATGTTTCAAGCACTCAATGAAGTTCTGTTAAAAAAGAAATACAGGGGCCAGCCTGGTGGCATAGTGGTTAAATTCTTGCACTCCACTTCAGCGGCCCGGGGTTCACAGGTTTGGATCCCAGGGGCGGACCTACACGCCACTCATCAAGCCATGCTGTAGTAGCATCCCACATACAAAATAGAGGAAGATGGGCACAGATGTTAGCTCAGCAACAATTTTGCTCACCAAAAAAAAAAGAAAAACAAATACTTTAATTGGACCACGCTTTATGAATTTTCGTAAATGATTCTGATTCATATAGTGGGATTTTTCCCCACACTAGTATTGAGGTGTTTGTAAAGTGCTGATTCAGCAGCAGCAGACCAGATAGCAAAATGACAAAAATGTTCTCATAGCTAAAGTTGGTAACAGTCCAAACTATTTTTCTCTTCATGTTTTGCCAACTTTTTTCCACCCACAGGGTAAAAGATAATGTTGATGTTGGGTAGATTAGCAGTACTGGCCTCATGTGGGGTCATTTTATTTTTCCCTTCTTTTCTTTTTTCCTGCCTTTCATCAGCCTATATGGTGTACGCCTGTATTGGCTTAGGTAAATTGACGACTCTGAAGAAAGACAAGCCTAAAGAGAAGTTTCGTTTGTTTCTCTGTCTGCTTTCTATGTCAGCGTCATCATCCTAAGACTGACTGACCAGCGTTTGGCTCATCCCACTGTGGTGGCAAGGGTGGAATTATGTCGATTGGTTTAGGGCAGTGATGCCATGGGATTGAATCAATCCTCCTGTAACTCCACGGCCTAGAAATCTTGGTCTTGTTAAGAAAAGGCATGTAGGAAATGGGGAAACAACCAGTAATGTCCTTTTACTCCAAATCAGACACATTTTAAAAATTGAATGTATTAATATTAACAGTTTGTTTTTTCTTGGGTCTTTTAGAGGACAAGAATTTTGGGCAGATTTGAATGCCATGAACGTATATGAGACAACTGAATTTGACCAACTACGAAGGCTTTCCACACCACCCTCTAGCAATATCAACTCAATTTACCACACAGTCTGGAAATTCTTCTGTAGGGATCACTTTGGATGGAGAGAGTATCCTGAGGTACTTACAGGTTCTTTTTCCAAAACGTACATGTAAATTTTTTTTATCTTTCACTGTTCTTTTGTTCTTCCTTTCCAACAATGACTGGACAGAACTACAAATCAAAGAGCTTACGGATGTAAAATGAGTCTTGTTGATATAAGTAGCACTTTTCTTTCCTGATTTTTGTGAAAATGTATTTCATTTTCATTTCATTCCATTAATCTCCTGGAATCCATAAATAGAATACCACTATTATCAGAGCGATAAAATGCTTTCCCCAGTATCTTATACTATAGAGACCAAGTATTTACAGTGGTAAGGACTCAGACTCAGTGCCACCTGGAGTAATTTTAATGCACTAGTGTAACTTTTGGCTATATCTGGCTCCTGGGCTCATGGTGGTTGGATCATGTGTTACACTTAGCATTTCAGAAGTCTAGTGGGAAACAGTCACTCTTAAGCCCCTGGAAGAAATACTTGAAAATGTTTACTGAGCTGTGATCAGGGAAATCAGTCATTTAAAATTATATCATATGTACACATGCATCCTTAGTCTGAGATGGTAAGAATAAGCTCATCAATTAAAAAGTAAGGTTTTAAAATAATGATGGTTTACTTTGCCTCTGAATGAGAATTGTGAGTCAAGTTTAAACACCCTGAAATGGACTTTAGAGCTTTATTTCACATTCCAAAGATCTGACTTCTTCAGTTTGATTAAATTCATTTCTGGCATTACAGAAAGGGAGAACCGACTTATTCTTTTTTAAGGCAATAGCAAAAGAAAATGACCTAATATGTTAATTGCTATAAAACACAATATTGAATTAAAATTTCTGACTCTTTTTTTAAGTAATCACTAGTATCTAATACCTTCCGAAGAGAATAAGAGGCTGTTTAAAATATATTCTCAGAGTACGTGGCTGTCCTTTTGTTTTTCCTCTGAGAAGTTTCTTGGGTTTGGTACTTAACTGGTTTATTTGAACTCTATACACTACCATCTCTAATCCTCTTCTGAAAATTCCCTTAAATATAAACAAAAAAATCTCTAGGACATTGTTAAGGCCTTAAAATAGGGTAGAGTAGTTGTCTGGGCCTCACATGTTTCATAAGGTAGAAATCTGTGCTCTTCTGAACAGGGAGCATCTTTCTATTCTACATATTTGCCCCCCACAAAAAATTTGTATGTATGAAGGGAATTAATTTGACTCACTGTACTTTTTTGAAACGCTTCTGATGTTAACAGCAAGGTTAACTATTTTTGCCTTTAGTTACATTAACATTTTTCATATTTAATAGTTGATTGTTTATTAACTTGCTTTTTTAACTTGCTTTTTTGTTTTCTTTACCTTCTATTTTCTACTCCATAGTCTGTTATTCGATTGATTGAAGAAGCCAACTCTCGGGGTCTGAAGGAGGTCCGATTTATGATGTGGAACAACCACTACATCCTCCACAACTCATTCTTCAGAAGAGAAATAAAAAGGAGACCCCTCTTCCGCTCCTGTTTCATACTGCTTCCATATTTACAGTGAGTGTTCAGTGGAAAGTCTCATCTTTACTCTCATTTTATGTAAATGTACAACTGAATGCCAAAGAGAAAAAGATTTTAAATTAAGAGACTAACTTGGTTATTACCTCTAGAATGTGAAGTTCTGAGTTATTCTTTGGGTTTAATTTTTGAAGACCTGGAAGCAACCTAAGTGCCCTGCAAGGGATGAATGGATAAAGAAGATGTGGTATATATACACAATGGAATACTACTCAGCCATAAAAAAGATGAAATCTTGCCAATTGCAACAACATGGATGGACCTTGAGGGTATTATGCTAAACAAAATAAGTCAAAAGGAGAAAGACATATACTGTATGATTTCACTCGTGGAAGATAAACAGACACACACATAGATGTGGAGAACCGATTGGTGGTCATCACACGGGGAGGGAGGAGGGCGAAAGAGGTAAAGGGATGCATGTGCACAGTGATGGATGGAAACTAGACTTTTGGTGGGGAACATGATGTAGTGTTTACAGAAGTCAAATATAATGATGTACACCTGAAATTTATATCGTGTTATACACTAGTGTTGCTTCAATAAAAAAAAATTAATTAAAAACATAGAGTTCAGATAAGATACAATTAACCCAACAGTAAAAGAATGAGTATCCTATTGGATTTTTTGAACTGAAAAGCAGTTAACATTTTTCCACAGCTAAAAGTAATTATATCTGGAAAGAGAATTTGCTTTTGCCTCCTTCATGGAAGACTGAGTTTTTCTGATGATACCCTTCCACGTTATGGGACTATTTCCCAGCCTAGGTAAACTGCCAGGACAAGTAGGGAGAGTCCTTCAAGGTAGTGTTCTCTGTGCTTCTCCCTTGAGTGAATTTGTATGGGAAGAGTTCACCTTTTCAAATAATTTGCATTCTCATTTGCTGAGTAAGGCCCATCTTCCTGTAATACTCACTGAAATTACCTGTCATAACTTTTAGGTTGAGACTGAACTCATCCTTCTGAATTGTCAGTGAGCTCTTCCTCCATTTTCCCAAGTGCCGTTTCTTCTTTCCCTCTCTAGATAGCCCATTGGCACATCTCCATAGATGCCAGAAGGTAGGGCACGTTTCCATTAGCATGGCCACCTTTGGAAGTTAGTATCTCCAGAGAAATCATTCTATACTCTAGTCAGATTTACCCTATTTGGAGACTGATTTTTAAAGTGATACTAGGTTTACTTGGTTTTGTGAACTTGGGAGGTCTCGAGTAATATTGGTTGGTCTCTTCTGCTGATCTTTGAGGTCAAGATGCTCCTTTTATATTCTTATCTGTAGTTTTTTACTTCAAGCCCAAACTGTGTTTTTCCCAGATCATTATGACAAAATCTTAATGATTCTAATTCTGAGATTGCAAAGGGAACATTAGAAACAAAATACAAACAAATAAAAATCTCTAAAATTCTCAGTATCCAAAAGCAGTTTGTCATAAGACTGATTTTAGAAATACATATTGGCTTGGGATAAATGCATGCCTTTTTCCTAGTCTAAGTGTGAAAGTTTTTATCTTGTGGGGTTTTTTTTTTATTATTAGAAACTAATGAAAATGCCATTTCTGTGATTTCGCTAGCACGGCTGGAGACAGTGGCGGCGTCCAGTAGTTAGGAACATGTTGTCCTCCCAGTGAGACGGCAGAACTCATTAGTGAGCCCAGCAGCTTGGCATGCTGAGCCAGCCAAGCGAGATGTAGCTTCTATGTGAGAGTAAGGATGCTCATTCGAGGGCTGCATTGTGGAGGGAGTTTACAGAAGGGTGAAAATTCATTTGTTTCCATCCTAAGACAAGTAATTATGGAATACCCGCTCCGTCCCCTTTTTTAAACTTAGGCTTGTTTTGTAAAAGTGTGAACTATCAAGAATAATGGAAGCAGTAGTAGAGTTAAGGCCACAAGTGTGGCCTTACTCTTGATAACGTGGGCTTACAAGAGTCACTCTAGTCTCTCTTCCCTTTTCTTCTTAAAATTTCCTGTTTTAGTCTTGTCTGGCACAGTGATAATCAGGTATAAAGTAATAGCTTAGCAAATCAAAGAGTTATGCAGACACTTGAATGAGAAAAGAGCAGAGAAGCAGCAGGTTCACCAGAGTGGAATGGGTAAATGCAGCCCTTCAGTTCCTGTCCGCCCTAGAGTCTGGGGCTGAGAGGCACTGGGGAGAAAGAGGAGGGAGCTTTGTTCCAAAAAACAGATCTCAGAAGTAGATTCCAGAGAGACTGTGATCTTAGCCAGGAAGAAAGTTTTCTTTTGAAGTATTAGTAAATGCAAAGGGTCAAAGAAAAACATAGGTGTCAAAAAGGCCGCAATTATCAGGGAATCAGAGATGCCTAAGAATTGGGAATACTAGAGTGGAGGAGGGCGGTTGCTGACTTAATTCATGAATTGCCTGTAAATTTGGCTCTTTTTAAATGAGAGTTTCCCTGCTGCCTTTTTTCCCTTCCAGTTTTATTGACACATAATTGACACACAACGCAATAAGTTTAAGGTGTGCAGCATAATGACTTGACGTATATATATATATATTGCAAAATGACCACAATAAGTTTAGTTAACATCCATCACCTCCCAGTTACCAAAAAAATTTTTTCCCATGTGCTTGCTGCTTTTTAATGAGGCTGATAAAAAGGAGCTTATTCTTTAATAATCCTAGAATACTTGAGCTGAGGCTGCACAAGAAAACACATCTCAGATGTAGAGGTTTGGGAGTTCGTTTCAGCAGAAAGGATATCTGTCCCGTGCAGTCACCTCATGGTCATGAGAAGACCTGATAGAATTTCTTTGACTCCTCCCCAAAAAGGATAAAATGAATTAATTTTTACTGCATTACTGAAGTTGAGTTAGGAAATGTCTTTCAAAATGAAATGGGGAGGGAAGGCAAGTGATAACAGGTGACCTTGGATTCTGAAGATCCGTTCTTCAGAGGTCCTTGAGTACAAGCTCCATATCCTCAACTTGGCCTCTCTTAAAGAAGGCTGCTCCAGCACCGGGAAGCACGCAGTATGTCATTGGAATACCCATGAGCTGAATACAAACTCAGTATTCTCAGAAGATGACTGTGCTTGGAATATATATTTTTAACTTATGGCAATAGAATGTAGAAGTCCGTCAGACAGATGTCTATATGCATTTTTATGTTTTAGCCCAATTAGGATGTTGGCTTGTTAAAGGTAAGTATCTATGGATGGGAATGGATGCTGACCACATATATAAAATCTAATTTAATATCTTAGAATGAGTAGGATTTATTTACACAGGCTCATCTTCAAGCATGTATGAGTAAATAATAGACCCCATCTCCCTGAAAAAGGAAAGGATACATTTGAAGCTTTCATTTTATGAAACTAGTTTTTAGGCAGGAGTGATATCAGAAAGGAAAGGAGCAGAGTTTCTTCTGTTGTCAGTGCCGGGTATTCAGTACAGCTGCGACAGCCGAAAACCTATTTTGGGCAGAGTGCTTGGGAGAATGTCACCTTCCTCCCTCAACCCAGAAACCTCTGTTGGTAACTTCAACCCCTGAGAATACTGGAAAACCTGGTGGCCTGTGACTGACCATCTTTGCAGAGCAGGGATACAGGGAACAGCTAAAATAAGGAGCTTATATTCTGTTTCTGCCATTCCTCCAGAATAGTGATGGCTTTAAAGAGCTACAGACCTTTCAGAATCTGATTAAAGCAGCGGGGTCTCTCTTCAGAGAAGTGTGCCGGTGAGCGAAGGCTCTGGAGGATCTGTCAGGGCTTTGTGAAAATGCTCCAGAGGACGAGGACCGTTGTGCCTTCTGTCATGAAGGTTGGAGAAACCAGCACCCCTTTAAATCTGCTGCTGAACGTAAAAGCATCTGGTAGATTCTGTGAGCCCGGGGTGCACCCAGAGCTCCGTCTCTGTCTTGCAGAGGGATTTGAAACAGGATAAATCATAGGCACGGCTACTTGAAGGGGGTGGGGGTTAGAGAAGGCACTTGTGCCTCCATAGCTTTTAGTTTCTTATCAAGCTCTCTCTTAAAAATCAAGACTGTGAAGTGGTGCCGGTGTTAGTGGTGGTCTTGGTAGCCCGAGTCAGGCAAACCTGAGTTGCAGTCCTGATATCCATCCCTTTCAAGCCTCGGGTGGGGGAATACACACACACACACACACACACACACACACACACACACGCATGCACGCACGCACGCACGCACGCACACGAATTGTGAAGTATATGGAAATGAAACGAGTATGTGCTTAGAAACTATCTAGATAGGCCTGGATTCATATCCTGTCTCCTTTCTTTGCTAGCTGTGCTAGCGGTTTCTGTATTTGAAAAGTGGGGATAACCAAGCCATCTTGCAAGGTTGTTATGACAATTAGTGATCCTGTGTGTAAAGTACCTGGTCCATAGTATGTGCTTAGTATCAGGTGACTGCGATTGTGAGGAGGGTGATGGTAAGATATGCTCTGGGAGATTAGATGCCTGTTCACCCACAGTTGTACCTCTGTGTCACCAAGCTCTTTGGAAAATTTCAGTTTCCTAATCCATTTGGCAGACTTCCTGCTTCCTTGTGACCACTGTATGTGGGTGACTGTTACAGTCCCCTGGCCCTGAATCTGGGTCTAGGGTCAGGGTTTCCTTTCTCTCTGCTTCTTTCCTTTTGCTCTGTTTTGAAAGTGGCCAAGAAATACGATTTAAGTTTAAGCATTTAACCAGGAAGGAGTAAGTAACTGATCCAAGCTGCTGCTTATCTAAACTCTCCTTCACAGCAACAGACCTGGATTTAAAGGTCCAACCATATGCATTCTGGTGTCTGGAGCTTAAAGTAGTTAGGTCCGTCTTAAGCACACCTAAGACTGAAATTGGAATAATATTGATGGTTTTGTTATTGTATGTGATACAAAAAATGAAGCAAATGCCAAATGTCAGCTTTCAGTGCCTGCTCCATGATTTTTGTTTTTAGACATAAATTAAAGCATAAGCTTTTTTATTTTGAATATTCTATATCTTCTCCCTGTAAGCTCCCTCTTTCCTGCCTCCCTCACTTTGTCTCACCCTCACTCTGCTCCCCCCAGCCCACACAGCCTTTAGTAATGATGTATTTTCTGCTTAGTATAGCAAAGTTTGAAGAACGCAGATAAATTATTGTTGCTCCCTTGAAACAAAGTTTCTTTAACCATATAGGCAAAAGAGGAGTCCAGGATTCAAAAATTAAAGATATTTATAAATGGCTCTGCTTGCTTGCGTTGCAGTAGTACATTCCAGAGTTTTCTCCACAAGGAAGTGGCCAGGAGGAAGCTAATAATAGGTTATCTGTGTACAGGCAGTGTTTGCTCTAAGACTTTTTTCTTTAACAGATAGCTTTTTCTATATGTTTTAAACAAGCATTTAAGCTATACAAATTATATTAGATACTGCTATAGAGCACTAAAATGTGAGTTGTACTTATTTCTGAGTATCTTACCTTGACGTTCCTTCCACTCTCTCCTAGGACACTTGGTGGTGTTCCCACACAGGCTCCCCCAGCTCTTGAAGCAACCTCATCATCACAAATGATCTGCCCAGATGGGGTCACCTCAGCAAACTTTTACCCTGAAACTTGGGTTTATATGCATCCATCTCAGGACTTCATCCAAGTGCCTGTTTCTGCAGAGGACAAAAGTTATCGAATCATTTATAATCTTTTTCATAAGACTGTGCCTGAGTTTAAATATAGAATTTTGCAAATATTAAGAGTCCAAAACCAGTTTCTCTGGGAGAAATATAAAAGGTGAGTCAACAGTATAAATAAAGTTCAAGAGAGCTTTTCTTAATGTAGCTAATGACAAATGCAGAACATAATAGTAAAGACTTGCCTGGAACTTAGTGGGTTTGTATTTTTCTCATATAACTCACATATCCTCATAACAGACCTATAAGTAGGATTATTGCTGTCTACATTTTACAGAGAGGAGACTAAGTCATAGAAAAGTTTGGTAACTTAGCATAGGTCATACAGCTCATAAGTTAATGGTGCTGGAGTTTGAACCCAGGCAGTCCAGCACCAGAGGTCTTGCTCTTAATCACTTTACTATGCTGCCTCTCAAGTCAACAAACTAACGTAGTACGGAAGGAATACATGTGGGTTTGAGGAATCTCAGACTCAAGAGACACTCAGGTTGGTGGAATTAGACAAGGAAGGCCTGCTGAGAAGGTAAGATGTGAGAACTAGATTTGAAATGAAAGAGAAAGCAAGTGAACAGTTCGTGGAGGAGAAAAGGAAAAGGGCTTTTCTCGTCTGCAGAGGAAAAGATAGATTTAAACTTTTAGTATGATTTTTGATGGCATTTTGCCCATGGTGGTTGCTTTAACATTTCCTCCCCATTGAAACCATAAAGAGAAGTTTATGACTACCTCCTGCCTGTTAAAATGATCTATACCTTCCCTCTTCTGAATTCCCATCCACTCTTTGCATTAGGAAAAAGGAATATATGAACAGGAAAATGTTTGGCCGTGACAGAATAATAAATGAGAGACATTTATTTCATGGAACGTCCCAGGATGTGGTAGATGGAATCTGCAAGCACAACTTTGACCCCCGAGTCTGTGGAAAGCATGCTACAATGTTTGGACAAGGCAGCTATTTTGCAAAGAAGGCAAGCTACTCGCACAACTTTTCTAAGAAGTCCTCCAAAGGAGTCCATTTCATGTTTCTGGCCAAAGTGCTAACTGGCAGATACACGATGGGCAGTCACGGCATGAGGAGGCCCCCTCCCGTCAATCCCGGCAGTGTCACCAGTGACCTGTATGACTCTTGTGTGGATAATTTCTTTGAGCCTCAGATTTTTGTCATTTTTAATGATGACCAGAGTTACCCTTATTTTGTTATCCAATATGAGGAAGTCAGTAACACTGTTTCCATTTGAAAAATCTTGGTACTGCTAAATTGTTTGATATGAACTCAATCCAGCATTCGTAGCAGGTTTTGGATAGGTGGGACAGAGTCAGGAACAGCATTGGACATTAATAGAGCACTTTTAAGGCCCATTTTTTTAAGTGCTAGAAAATGAAATTTTTTTTAACAAATATGCGTTTTAAAATGACCAGATATTCTTTAATTATTTACTAATTGTTGTTAGTGTACTCAGTGTGGAAAAGACTACAGATTGCATACTCTTTTCATTCACACATGTACATATAGGCAGCAATGTTATTAGAAGCATTTTCAAGAAATAAACTGAACAGCCTAACTAATTAAATGTGACTTAGGCCTGGGAGAAGTTTGGCCAAATGAAATGGAAGCTGTGAGCAGAGCGAGGATTCGATCTATGACGATGATAAAACTGACTGGAGCTGGCCCTGCCACACTTGTTCCCTGTCTGAAGCCCCCTTGCTGTGGTGTAGGATAAGGCCATGAAATGCTGGTGGGTGGAAAGACATTTTTATTTCTGTCAGCAGGACTGAAATGTATCACCCAACCAGAGAGCATCAATGACTTTGATCTGCAGAGTTTGCCTGAAAATTCAGAGTTCTCTTTAGAGGAAGTAAAAAAAAGAAGGAACCATTTGAAAAATTTTTGTCACCAGCAAAATTTTTCACTAACTAGTTACATGAAATGTGATTCTCGTGTTGTTCAACTTCAGCCTTGGGAAACTCAGTCTCTTCCATGGCCATCCACTCCAATTTGAAGGAGTTGGGCAGCTCATTTGGTAAAAGCCAGTCTCGAGGATTAGAAGTATTACTTTATTTCAGGGTTCCAGACCTAGGCCCTCACGGAAGGTTTTAGGGAAAGGAAGTCCATCTGAAACCGAATTGATAAGGTTTATTACTGTGCTTTGCACAAGTAGACTTTCAAAAGTATTTGTTGACTGGGAAATCCTGTTCAAGTGGTAATCCCATTCCTGTGCCTGCTTTCCCAGCTGCAGCTGGGTTCCCTGGCTGGCTCTGTATTTTACACTACTTACTTAACAGAAACACAAGCTTGGAAATTGTACCCCTGGCCCAGTTGGAGCAATGTTAGGTGAATATGCTGATGCCTTCGTTCAGACAGGTAGCAGCTAGGTGTACTTCGCCTTAAGCAAAGCAGATACCTGGATTTACAAAAGTGGAAGTGGCTGTCCGCAAAAGAATTCACCACAGAATTTCCTCAGATACCAAGCTCTTCTAGTATGTTTGTGGTTATTTCATTTACACAGAACTTTTCAGGAACTTCTGTGTTGTTTAAAGCAAGATATATCTATCCTGACGTCTCAGTGAATCAGTGTGTTCAAGCACTTATCAGGGCTTCCACATGTTATTTATTTTGCCCTCGTCGATCTCGTTTGCTGCCATTGGCATGAGACAGCCAACTGTGGCCGTTACCGTTGTTCTTTCATTCAATTCTAACTTGTAAACCAGTGATTCCCAATCTTTTTCAAGTTAAGATACCTTGTCATTGCTTATTTGATTTTATGAAACTTGTTCTTTTTTTTCTCCATAAAGGAAAAAAAAGCTTTATGACATATTTATTTTTTTAATAAAACTAAGGAAAAATAAAAGTTCTAGTAATTCTTTAAAACTTTTTGTTGTTGCTTTGGTTCCATTTAAGATAACAATTCAACACACAGTGGATGCTCTGTAAATGCTGGTTGGTTGGTTGAATGAATGTGTAATTGAATGACTGAATGAACAGCCTAACCAGAACCTGCTTAAACTTTTGTGCTCCAGGAATCAGCAGACAGTACATTATCTAGCAGTTGACTGTAAGTCACAAGAGAAGAGTGAATATTTTCTTTTGCAGGTAACCATTTAGGAGAAAGGAACAAGTTTTATATCAGCAAACAGCTGTAGTGAAAAATATGAGCAGGTTGTCTCCTTCAACAGGTGCTGAAGGAAATATAAAAAGGAATTGTAGAAATCTTGTCAGCTCTCAAGCACCTGAGTTTTCAGCCAACTTTAAGTCCTATGAACGGTAAACGTGAGCTCCTCTGACAGTACTTTCTCCCTAATAATTTTTAAATTTCCATATAGTATTGTATGTTATTTTAACTAAGCAAGAACTGTGGAGTCAGTCTAAATTTTGTGATGGTTCTGTGGATTTAAGACATACTGAAAAGCATTCAGTAAATCTTTCTCCCTCCCAGTACAGCTGTAATTGTTACCATTTCAGACAGCTGGAACTTACTCTTAAACTTTGGTCAAGTTTTCCCAGGAGAGTCTGCAGACTCCCCAAGATACTCCATTGTCATACAAGCCTATAGACAGTGTGCAAAGTTTATAAATACTGGATCCTGTATAATTATGAGTTCTAAAACCCAACTCGGTGCATTTTGCTACAAAGCTGTTTATTTTAAGTAAATGATTATTTAGATATAAAAATAATCATTAGGACCTGAAATGCTGATCTTTAAAGAGGAATTTTTATTCTACTAGGTCTGAAAATGACTGAAGAAGAGACTATATTCAAAACCCAAACCAGTACTATACGGTCGGTTTAAATTAGAGGGGTTTTTTCCTCCTCCATCTAAGGGAGGGAGGATAACCACAAAATATTTCTGGTTTTCCTTAACTGGGATCAAACAGTCAAAATGCGTTTAGAAAATTCTGTATGACACTGTCCTAAAATCTAATCCACATCACTTGTTGCTATTGTGATTTTTTTACATAACTTAAGCTCTTTTATTATATCTATACTATAATCTTGGACAAGTCACTTAACCTTTCATGTGGTTAGTTTTCTCATCTTTGAAATGGAGGGTTTTTTTTTTTCAAAGACTACAAATAGGAATATTCCAACTTAGAGACCCTACAATGCAAAAATTTTTGTAAAGTGCTCTATGAACTCATTGTGTTTATTTACAAATTAAAAGCCGGATACATTTTCCTTAGAAATGATAGTGTTGAGTTTTAAAAACAGACCCATTTAGTTCATTGATTTAGGTACTCTTATTGCAGGCAAGTTGGAAAATGCCATGACACAGTGCTTTTTACCTTCTTTGGCTTGCTGACCTTACTCATAAGCTATTGTCATAGAAAAAGATGCTGTCAGAAGGTTTCGTCAGCGTTATTAGTTGGCCGCCTTTTATTGCCGAACTCACCCCTCAGCATATCTTGTGGGAGACTAACTCTTGCATAGAGCTGTCAGATGGCAGCTCTTCTGAAGCTTTCATCTTACATGAATGCAAGTGTTCTTGTGTTAGAAATGTTTCATGAACACTTTGCCAAAATTTTCCAAGCAGAGATGCCCAGCCACTTGGAAGATGTCAGAAGTTCACAGCCTTAATTGTACTTAAGTTCCTAATGGTTACTGAAATGCAAAATGACCAAAAGATTCTATGAATTCAGTGATCTTTTTAAGCAAATTTGTATTACTCATCACAACTGTATCTCCATTTGATATGTAGGACATCCTTAGTCTACAGAAAACAGTTGCTCAAATGGATTAATGAGCTCCTGCAATAACTGCCATATGCTGCTGGAGTCTATAGCCAACAGGCTGGAAACCACTGGTCTAGACTATTAAAGTTTTTATAACTATGTGTAGCTCCTTAATTATATCCAATCTTAAAATAGCCTTAATCAAATCAGACAGCTAAGAGGGTCAGCCCAGTGTTCAAGAGCCTCTAACCTTCTAATACTTAGCAAGTCTTAGGTGCCAAATTGTCATGTGGTGGGCCTTCTGTTCAGATGCATCAGCTGCACTTCGGAGTGTTCCCCGGTACGTTGAGGGCTGCATCTCACAGGTTTGAGTGGCAGGAGTACACGAAACAGATGCTACTCAACTGCCTGATAATGCGGGACTCTTCAATGCTAATATGAAATTCTTGTGCAACCGTCAGTTTATAAATTGGTTTTTGAGCACCAGTGATGGATTTGGGGCATTAACCCACACTTTTCTGACAAAGGCCCTACTTGAAGTTTTGCATTTCATAGTATCTTTGTCAAGGGTTTAAGTCATAATTTCTAAACTGAGTGCAATGAACTGTTCCACTTAGGCGTAGCAACTATCAATCTAATTAGCATTGATCTCAATGATCTAAGCTAACTCAACCAGTAACTACAAGCTTTAGTCCCAGCGACTCTCAAATATAGCTGAATTGCTCCTAAATGCAAATTTCTACCCATATGAATACGTTTTTCAAAAATCAAGTTTGTAGTCTTATTTATAATTAACTTGTAGGCATATACAAGTCAGTGCTGGATAGAAGTGGGAATGCAGATTTTGTGCATTATTGTTACTTGATTTTGTGATGAATTACTATCATTTATCAGAAAGCAATGGCTTAGTCAAAAGCCTGTGTGAAAAAGTTACACAATCTTAGTTATGTGGCGTGTGGACTAATTGAGATAAAGAATGTAAAGCAGTTAGCACAGTGTGTGGCTCATGGCATACAAATTTTAGCCAGTAGTAGTAATAATAGAAGTAGTAGTGTGGTGGACTGAATAATGGCCCCAAAGATACCCAAGTCCTAATCCCAAAAACCTGTGAATATGTTGCCTTAGATGGCAAAAGAGGCTTTGCAGATGTGATTAAATTAGGGGTCTTGAGGTGGGGAGATTATCCTGGATTATCCTAGGGGGCCCAGTGTAATCACAAGGGTTCTTATAAAAGGGAGGCAGAAGGTCAGAGAGAGACTGGAAGATGCTATGCTTCTGACTTTGAAGATAGAGAATGAAGCCAGAAGCCAAGGAATGCACGTGGCATCTAGAAGCTAGAAAAGGTAAGGAAACATTCTCTCCCAGAGCCTCCAGAAGGAACGCATCCCTGCTGACACCTTGATTTTAGGACTTCTGACCTCCAGAACTGTAAGATAATAAATGTGTGTTGTTTTAAGCCACTAATTTTGTGGTAACTTACAAAGGAGCAATAGGAAGCTAATATAAGTAGTAAATATTATATTGAAGAATCATCAGGAAGCTGTTCTAATATAAATTAGTAATCAAAAAGCACTGCAAATACAAAAAAGTTCCATTGCTTCTTGGAAATTTTAAAAGATTACATGAAGTTCCAAGAGGGCAGACTACCATTAGCTTTCCAAGGGTGGTATACATGCATGCTCAAGACGAGCCTCACTGAAAATAAGGCTTCTTCTAAGGAGTATTTAAAAACTGAATGAAGACGAGCACTATAGGTAGTCCGATAGCCTAGTCCTCATGCAAGATAGAGGGAGAAAGCAAATTGCTTTAGAGAATTGGTTGGTGAAAAAGATGTAGGGATGAAAAATTTTAGCATTGAGATTGTCTAAT